TTGCATGTTGTTGCAGGATTTAAACGTAAAAACCACGCCCATTGTGCTAAAACGATTTATGGATCACATGAAAGATAAGGACTACACAAATCAAGAACTATTTTTTATTTTGGCATATATTGTGGCTCTGGAATGTGGATTTGTCACAGAAGAAGAATATGAAAGGTGCAAGAACTCATTACAACATAATTCAACTGTATCGTCATACCACTCCAAAAACGTGTTAACAATATCACGCCTATCACCAACATATTCATTTGTACCAAACAAATGCTTCTTTCAGATGAATTTGTACAGTATTTTTGGTGTTGATACGAAAAGTGGTTGCGGCAGAGCACTTCTTTCATCTTTCAATGGATATACAACTGGGGAATTTATGATATTAACAGTCAGTCCTGATCATGCCATCAAATCAGAAGGGTACAGCATTTGTTTGTCTGTGGAACGTTACGTTATGAATTGTAGCAGAGACAGACCCATATTTAATAGGTTTGCTCGACTTGAAGAGTTTGCAACCACATTGCGAGATAAACTGTTCGTACCTATTCGAAATGGGCAGATACAATTATTGGAGTTGTGTTGCCATCCATCAATATTAGGACTGCCTAATGAGATCTATGCTGATATAATTAAACATTTCTCAGATCGAGAGTTACGATATTTGGCAAAGAGTAACAAACATTTAGGTAATATTGTTAATGACTACAAGAAGAGAAAACAAAAGAAGAAGAATGTCTGTATATTAACTAAAAAAGAGAGCAGTGAAAGCAGTAATCTTTATGCAGATGATGATTATACGTAGTATAAAACTAATATGCGTACTGTAGGGTATTTTACACAACTCACTTAGCGATTCGAATTAAAAATTTTAAAACTCTTTACAAATGTTTCTATAATGTGAACTTCTCCATTTTGAATAAAATAGTGTGATTTATTTTCTATGTGATTATAATTATTTTATATTATATTTTTTGTAAATTATATACGCTTATGTATTATAAGCTTGCTTTCAATTAAATTAGGAAACCTCTTAAAATTGTTGTAAAAATACTCAATGTTAAAATGACATATAAGGAAAGGGTAATAAAATTCTCCATATAAATAAAAATGAAATCCGTTATATTGACTTTTTATTATTTTACTATTATTTTATAAGATGAATAACACATTAGTAAATTGATTAAAGAATACACCAAAGCAGTCAAAAATATTTATAGGTATACATTTTTCATATATGATAAGAGTTTTGTGAATACGTGGGTTCTACAAAATGGTACAATAAATCCTGATAAAAGAAATAGTTGAAGGTTATTTTATAATATTAACATTATAAAATATTTTTAGTTACTATATTGTAAATTAAAAATTTTTTTAAAATAAATTTTAACAAAAATAATATAAAAAATAATACTAGAATAAATAAGTTAACTTATCAAGAACTTATTAACTTGAAATCTTTAATCAGAGAAACAAAACATTGAAGGTATATTAGCATACATTTTTATACACTAAAAAATATTCGAAATTCATTCGACATTGGTGAATTATATATAATGTTAATATAACTTCAATCATTTTATGGATTATCAAAGTAAAAACTTCTTATTTCATCGAGAAACTAGTGCTCATAACAGTATCTTTGGCATATATATGGTCAAGTTAGAAACTCTAATATTTTAGAAATTCTAGAAACCTCTAGAAAGTTAATATTCTCTCGATAGGGAACCAATGGAATCGATGCGCAGGCCTATTAACTAAGTAAAGACAAGTCAGCTCTGAATTTATATTGTTATAAAACACATTTGTTGCTATAAATTTATGGTATCGTTAAAAGGTAAGTAGCATTGGCACGTTAACCCAGAATCATGATAGATTCTGGATTCTAGAAATTCTTGGAATAATAAAAAATATATCATATATACTAAAAAGTAGGTCAATAGCTCTCTGTCTTATTTTTACTAATATGTTCTATATGAAAATAATATAATTTGAAGACAGTTTATTAATATTTTCAATATTATATAGATGAAAAAAAAAATATATATAGTACATCTAGGATACAATTTTTTTAAAGGCAATAGAAAGGAAGAAGTTCAGCGAACTCATCTACATATATATTGAATATTATGTATTCATTTATTTTTAATAAATTTTAAATTTATTTTATGTATAATTTTTTAATATATTATTTTTAGTTGTATTATTTATATATTTTTTGATTATAAGATGTTTCAGATGTTCCTTTAACTCCTACCTCTGAGGTTGTTGATTTGACAGAGAGTGATATACTAGGTGAGTACTGAGTGAATAAAACTTCTGCTTATTTATTTATTTATGTGAGGGTGCCTAATTCGCTTTAATTGTTTTATAAATTTCTTAAAAAAAAAAAAATCAATTAAAATAATTATAATGTGTTCAGATATGTAAATGCATTCCTTTAAATTAAAATAGTCACCAGGTGAATTGAACCAATTTGAATAAATTGTTATGTAAATTCAAATAAATATATTTAACATATACTAAAATATGTTACATATATCAGAGATTATTCATATTAATCACTTACTACAATATTACTAAAAATACTTTTATAAATAATAAAGAAATATCAGTTCTGATCGTTGAGAATTGAACTAAACCGATATATGTTAAAGATCTGTTATCAAGAGGCTTTAGAATAATTTTTTAGAGCTTTCTTCAAAAATGAGGGAGGAAAGAAATTCAGTTTATTCAGGTTTAAAAAAGAGTGGAAGACATGTAGACAAGCAGACCAGTTAAATATCGCTACATCGCTTTATATTCTGTTGTTGATGAAGAGTATATAGAGTGGCCCAATTGAATTGAGCTGTCCAGAATTCATTATTTCTTTAATACAAATGTAATTTAATTAAATCAAAAGAAAAAAATGAAAAATTGAAAACAATTGAATTGAATTTATTCTTCAATGTATGTATTTATTTTTAATTTTCTTCAGAGTGAACTATGGCGCTGTCAATCAAGAAATACATCGCGCCCGATAAGACTTTTGAACTCAACTAATTGGGTTGGGTTCGTATTATGTGTTCATATTGTAAATTATTGAATTAGTAAAGAAGTTGTCAAAAATTTTGAACTATACTTTATTTTTGAAACAGTCAAAGTCGGTGCAAATTATTTCATTAATATTAGGATTGAACTATATAAAATAAAGAATACTATAAAATAGAATAAAATAAGCATAGAAACGTAGCATTGTGGTCTTAAGGGATTTTATGAAGAGTAAGTTGTCCCTAAAGTAAAAAGAAATATTTTTCTCCATTCCATAAGGGCTAAAGTATTTTCCATCAAGGAGCAGGTACTTATTAAGGCAGTCAATATTTCCCGCAGGTAGATTAGTAAGCTGAACGAAAGCACGTTGATAAAAGCATTAACACTTGACTTGAACAAAACTATTTTCCCTTCTGATACCCTTAAAGGAATCAGTGAAAGGCAAGCCACACCAACTATTGTTCACAATATTGTGTTATTTTTCCGCAGCTATTTGGGATTTCACACAAAGTTATGGAGATTTGATAAGTCTACTTTCGGTATCTTTACTAGGTAAATGAAGAAACAGACTCGTAGGTATTGAAACTGCTTCGTCTGCAATCGGAGGCAAATACAGATAGTGTTGAATAGATTTTATTTTCTCTTCGTAATGGTAGTTTCTACACACCCAGCAAAGCACTTATACAATGTTTAGTTAGTACCTCAAAAAGCACACGAGCTGTAGATTTGCTGAATCGCAAATGATTTTTCATTTTTCTTCTATATAATGACCATAGCGACCTAGAAGCTTTATAGACTGTGTGGTTAGTGTGATTAGTTACTAACTTTTTGTTATCGTAGTGGTGAATTCACCTAGGGTCCTAAATATTTTTAGCATTGGGGTTGTTTTTAATGATAATGCGATCGAAGCTTATTTTTGGCTATATTATCTGCTAGTTTCTTTCATCTTTCGATGTTCTTACCCACATATATCCAACAGAGAGAGACCTTGTGATATTCAATGCGTATTCCCTAGAGATCTTACAGTCTATATTCTATTGCATAATATTGCATATTAACATTGGGGTTTGATCGATGTCGCAGTAATGAATTCATTTACCCTGTGAGATACTCAAAATATCGGGGTTTGCATTGAAGTTTCAAGATTATCTTTTGGCCAACTCATCTACAAGTCGTTACCTTCGATAGCCCCATGTCCAAGAATCTGACAATAAGAATTTTTATGAACCTATTGGTTCATAAGTTCATCGATATCGCAGTGATTAATTCATTTACATTGTTACATACTTAAACCATCGGGGTTTGCATTGAAGTGTCGACTTCATTTATATCCATTCGAAAGTATCCTTTGGCGAATTCATCTACAAGTCGTTACCTTCGATATGCCCATATCCGGGAACCGGAGTCTTTATGGTACTTTCTTCATTTGACTGTTCTGGATTTAATTGCTTTGATTGCTGCCTAACTTAATACAAAGACAGTGATATTCGAATATCATAGTGTACTGACTTGCATGAGCTTGACTGTTTTTTCGATCACGTTTATCCCATCTTAAAACAATGTTAGGTCGCTAGCAATTCTAGCTTTGTGTTAAGGATTGCAGTTAATGTATAAAGAAAATTTGTTGCTATACAATCGTTATTTTAGAGGTTGATTGCCTAGCTATTGCAGTACCTGTCATTATTGAATTAAACAGATTATATATTTTAAATAATATGCAGATACAACTTAGTACAATGATGAAAACTATGATGGAGTCCTTGTTACAAAGTTTAGTGCCAACCCTAGCTTCTTAATGAGTTTGTCATCATATCGACTTAAAATTGTGACGTGGAATGCCAATTCCATTATTAACAAGAAACATGAGGTCATCCAATTCCTGCATGATTTTGAAATTGACATTATGTTGATCCAAGAAACATTTCTGAAACCTGCTATCCATTTTAAAATTCCCAATTATGTTGTTTACAGATCAGACAGAAACTCAAGAAGAGGTGGTGGCACAGCCATCGTGATTAAATATGGCATTAAACATCATGCTACAATTTGCAACCAACAATCGCTCGAAACAACATCTGTACTGGTTGAAAGCCAACTTGGTAATATAAATTTTGTGTCAGCATACAGGCCACCGAGTTTGCAAATTCTCCCTAATGAACTTGAGGTTATCCTCAACAACGAGACACCTACTTTCTTAGCGGGCGATTTAAATGCATATCATAGCAGCTGGGGTGACAGAACTTCAAACAGAGCTGGCAGGGATATTGATGGGCTCGCCACTGAACACTTATGGCAGATTCATGCGCCAGGTGAACCGACACATTATGGCAGAATCACAGTCCACGTCATTGACTTCGGAATTTCAAATAACTTAGAATCGAATGTGCACGTAGAGGTCCTTGATGAACTGGACTCGGATCACAAACCAGTTCTTTTTATTCTTGAAAATTGTCCAGCAATCAACATGAATCTCACGTACATAACCACTAACTGGGACTCATTTAAGAATCAGGTTGATATTTCAAATATAAATAATTGGCGAGTAACTTCTGAGGATCTTGATGACTGTATCCAAAAACTCACTCTCAAGATTAAGGAGGCATTGGATAATAGCTCCACCACCAGGACCAGAAAACCAAGTAACTACTTTTATCTGCCGCATTACATCAAACAAATCATTAGACAAAGGAATGCGATTCGAAAATTTGCTCAAATAACTGGAGATCCTATGAGAAGAAGAGAAGCCAATCGTCTCTCTAATGTAATCAGGAAAAA